TGTAGTTATAGAGCTTTTGCTTTGTAAGCAAGAGGTAGGCCTAAGGTAGGAAGGGCTACTAGGTGCCCAAGCCATCTAGGAAAAGTTTTTAAAAAGTGACACATTGTAAATGATTAATAAAAATATTTCAGATTAGCTCGTAATGTTAACAAAAGCATATTGTGATAAAATTGTTCATTATTTTAATCTTTTTGAGATTAAAATAATGAACAATTTTAATTCTTTTTGACACCACCAGTTAGCATGCAACTACAAAATAATTTTTACAGCACAAGAGAAAAATCTATTAGATTTTCAGTATGCTGTACTTTAAGTCGTTTTATGCCAACCAATTAAAATAGTACTGTAGAATAGTATGTGACCAGGTTAAAATTTGACTGGGGCCAGGTTTGATAAAATATAGTTGGGGTCGGGATCAGGTTTGTGATTGGGGCTGCATAAAAATTGATACATCCTAAAGTATCTTTTTTTAATTTAAAATTCATGTTATAAGGTGTAATACATGTAACGCATTCTCTACAAGTTTTTTTACTTCTACCATTTTCTCCTAAAGCTGCTACCTCTCTACATGCTGATATCCATATCACTTAATTCTTTTCTTACAAACGTTGTTAGATACAACTTTTTTTCTGTCTAAGATTATGGCTCTATTTCTTGTCTTGTTAGAGTTATTTCACACATCTCTCTGATCACCATCTTCTCTTTCTGCAAATACTTCTTCATTTCCAGTAACTTTAAGGGTATTGCAAGGGCCTTATCTTTGCTCCAGTATTGTTTTTTATCTACAATAACAATCTTCCTGACATATTATATATTTGCTTACAATTCAACTTTATACTCTTGTCTTGACAAAAGTCTTCACTTTTTGATCGCTTAGAACAAGCAGCCAATCTTTAATCTGATCTCTCTTTTCTGTAACAGCTTGGGGAATGCAGTAGCTTGCGGATTTTAACTCTAACAAAACTCAGTTAATTACTGCAAACTATTGCAATATTGTTGACATTCCTGTATTGACAAATAACAATCCTCTCACTCTTAGAAAAAGTCCAAAAGCACATTGTAACTGCAGCTGGACCTGATTTATCTAAAATTTATACATATATATGCCAGTATTTAGTAAATAGTAAATGTATGCATAAATTTATAATATATAAAGTATTATATATTTTTTCGTAGCCACGGTTATTAACCTCTGCTTGACCTTATAATTTTGCCAAGACCGGGGCCAGGTTTGTAAAACGCCCCATTTTTAGTTCAGGTCAGGGCCAGGACCCCGGCCACTTACTAATTTAGAATAAAGTTTTTGTTTTCATGTATACTTTTTTTGTAGGGGTAGGAGTAGGTCTAAAGTTAAATTACATAAGTTACGTAAAGTATGGTATTGTAACTAAATTTAATTTGAGCAGCCGTGGCACTGCAGTTAGAGCACTTGCTTTAAAAGCTAGAGGTTCAGAGTTTGAAGCAAACTCATGACATTTTGCGCCATCGTTAAGGATGAAAGCGTGAACTTCCTATTCAAATGCTTTTCCGCAGTACTCTGTGACAACACCATTAGGTCTTCTTGGGATACTTAAAACAAAAATTAAAAAAAAAAGGTTAGGGGCTCATATAAAATTTCGAAGGAAGGGGGCATAATTTGCTTCTAAGCTACTAATAAAATGCATAAAATGTAAAAAAAAAAAAAGTTTCATGTTTTTGTTGACTCAGTCAGTCACAAAGTCATTCTATACAAATCCGCAGGCACATGTCACCCTTTGAGTTATGGTAAATTTCATATATTTTTATTATTTTTATTGTTTATTTTTGTTGCTTACAAAAATTGCATGTATCTGGTCTACCTTAAATTGAGATTTCTCTAAAATCATAAATGCTTTTTATTTTAATTTTTTTTATTATTAAATGTGTTAACATCAATTAAAGTTTCAACTTAACTTTAAGGGGCTTGATGGGGTGTTTGGCAAGAGATCGAATTTTATATGGGGTTGATGCCAAAAATTTTTCTTTTTTCACTTTATTGATGGAATTAATCCACTTATTTTGGAAGTCTTTTTATTTTTTGTTACTCCACCTGTCTTACAAAGAACTCCTTTAACTATTACTCAAAAATCTTTAATCTTGTGCATCTTTTGTGTTTTTTTATAAATGGCAAAAGTCTTTTTTGGAGGCATTCTTTGATGTAGGGATTGGCATTCAAGGTCTTCTTAGTGACAAAACAAGATGACTGCATACCACAGCTACAAATTGCTTGCCACACAAGGAACTTGGATGCAAATTTTTCTTGTCAAATATATTTAAATTGATCATCGACAGGTTTACTTTCCTTCTCATTGTAAAAATAATGACCAGGAAGTTGTGAAAAACCCGCCTTGCAATATGTTTTGTTGTCTTTAATTACGCACATACTTTTATCAGCAATTATTTTAACCAACTTCTTTGGATGTTGAATTTCTTTAATTTCACCATTTAAGCTTCTTTTAGGTGTATTTTTCTTATGAAATACTTTAACTCCAGCATTTTTAAGTACTTTTTTGATATAAGAATGTGAAATCTTGAATTTTCTTTCTGCATCTTGTTGTTACTGGTTTAAATTTCTTGCTATTGAATGTAAAATCGACTTCATCTTTTTGGATTTATGGAAAGTTTCTTTCAAAGATTTGAGTAGTCTTGAACTTATTTATATCTATGACTGTAGATTTTAGGACATTTGTACATTTATTAATCAAGCAATATGAAGTCAATGGATTTTTGCAAAAAAAATTTACAACTTTTACGCACATCGATTTGTTTCTGAAACATTTGGCAAATCATTGATTTGTAAACAAAAGTTTATCAACACAATTAAAGATAAGGAAGTAATTTTTAATTAAAAAAATAAAAGAAATAAAAAGTGTGGAATAGAGAAAACTCAATTTCTCAAAGTTGACCAATTTCTCAAAGTTGACCAAAATCTGGTCAACTTTGAGAAATCTCAAAGTTGACCAAATTTTTCTGTGTCCACCTGATAAATCACTTTTCAAAAAACTGCATTTTTTGCAGCATGATTTCTTGTCATTAAGTAGCAATTTTTAATGAACCAATTGATGTATCAACTTTAAATTTAGTACTTAATTAGTTTTTTAGATGGTAAATTCTAATATAATTTTAAAATTTTGTTAGTGTCATTAAAAAATTAAATAATTCTTTAAAAAAACTGCTTTAAGAAGAAAAAAAACAACACACGCAACTTTTTTCAATACAAAGAGCTTATAAGAGATTTATAAAATGGTTTGTTTTTCTCTTACATACATAACTTCAATAGCTCAGTGTTTAATGCCCTGTCAGTGGTATCCATTTGCGAGGGTTCAAAGCCACCCCTTAACACAATACATTTTTAATTTTTTCAATCTGGATGTATATATTTATAAAAAAAAGAATATAGCAAAAAAGACTTAACATAAATTAGAGTTTTAAAATTTTTGCTAGCTATTGCCCTTTCTTTTTTTTCTTTTTTTTGCCTTCACAGTAGCACTTTTTGGAGTAGCAGGACAGGTTTATTAAATTTTTACTCTATTAAGCTTCAGAGCTTATTAGGACTAATTACCTAAACACATTTAATAACATAAGTATCTCTATCACGACATATGTTTTTTCTCCCAGTGTTTTAATGTTTTTAGAAATTTTAAAATTTTAAAAAAATTCTCTCCTTGTCTTTTGTTATAGTATATAATATCTTTATATATGTGTATGTATCTTATATATATATATATATATATATATATATATATATATATATATATATATATATATATATATATATATATATATATATATATATATATATATATATATATACATATATATATATATATATATATATATATATATATATATATATATATATATATATATATATATACATATATATATATATATATATATATATATATATATATATATATATATATATATATATATATATATATATATACATATATATATATATATATATATATATATATATATATATATATATATATATATATATATATATATATATATATATATATACACACACACATATATCTTTATATATGTGTTATATATCTTTATATATGTGATGTATATAACATCTATAGGACTTCAAATATTTGTATTTTGTATATTTAAAAAATTGAAAAATAAAAAATAAATAATGGTCAAATGGTAGGATTTGAACCACAGCTATGCACTTCAGAAACTCTGCAAGCTAATCACAATGGCCACTAAGGCATATTGTCCAAAAAACTTTTTAACACTATTTAATAAACACAAGTCTTTATAAAATAACAAATTAGCTTTTTTAAAAATTCTCTCCCTTTCATTTGTTATAGTACATGATATCTTTATATATGTTATGGTTATAACATTTATAGAACTTCAAAAGTGTTTAACTTTGTATTTTAAAAAATCAAAAGAGAATCAAAAAAAACAAATAGTGGGATTTGAACCACAGTGCTTTGCATCAAAAACGCTGCAACCTAACCACTTCGACCATTTAGGTATATTGGTATATTAGGTATATTACACACATTTTAATCGTATTTCATAAACAAGACTTTATAAAATGAAAAATAAATGGTATAAATCAAAATAAAGAATATACTGTAGCGATGCACTTTTTAAGTGAAAGTTACATTGTAAAACTTTATACATGTTTTATATATAACATTACATAGCTTGGAGTTTACAAAAGTTAGATATTTGCATACACTTTCGTTCACATTTTCTTATTAAAAATAAGTGATGCAACTCTTTTTTACCATTACCTTGGTTGCAATGGCTGCTTTGAGTATGGTGTCAATAACTCAGGAATGAGCATTGCCATGTTGTTCAATATATACTATGATATAGCTATTCACAAGCAAATATATTGTGCCTATTAGTTATTTTCTATTACAATTTTACTCACAACTACTTATTGCAAACGACTTCCTATTGCAACAAACTTTGTTTATTACATAAATAAAAGATGCTTTTGTTACCTTTAAAGCACGTTCAAATCTCCTAACTTTAGAAGAAGCCCCTTCTGCTTTTGCATTAGTAAGAGCAAGTGTGTACATTTGTTTTCTCTCAGAAATTAATTTTCCAATAGAGCTATTCGATTTCATTGTCTAAAGTAAAGAGCTAGATATATCTCAAAAAAAAAAATGCTTTTTTTGTGTGTTGCAAGTTAAAAAAAAATACAACTACATTTGAAAAACAAAACAAAAATTGAATTTTTTCTACTTCTTGATACTTAAAAAACTACAAATGTAAAATTAGAGATAAAGATTTAATAAATGCAAATAAAGAAAAAACCTCTTTGGGTAATTCTTCTTGACTTTCTTGATTTTCAGTTAACTCGCTTAATTCAGCCTTTAGAATTTATTTAAAATAACTTATTAGTATATGCATAAATTACAGGCTAGTTATCTAATTAAAATACTCAGCTAGACAAATATTGATTTAAAACATAAATTTACCAATAAATCATTTTCATCAATATTATCATCTTCGTCTTCATTTTCAGATTCAATATTGCGTGCAGCAAATGCGGCAAGATTATCTATTTCTCCCATGCTCATTACTAAAAAAATATATATATTTTTTTATAAATTTTAAAATTGAACTTCCCCTGTTTTGAAATTTATCATTATTTCATAAAAAATATTGCATATATAATAAAAGACATAAGTATAACTTTATTACATAAATGAAACTTTATTACATGGTAACTTTCTTATCAACAGTGAAAACATCATTTAATCAAGGATTTCATAATAATTCTAAACAGAATGGTCTATGCAAAAAATAAAAAAGAGCTTTACTTGGGCAAATTAAGATTTGTAATATATGGTGACATTATAATGAGAAAATATATTTGTATATTGAGTGAAATTGTATTAAATACATTCTCGTTTTTATAAAAAATCTATTAAAGACAGTGAAAATAATAGGAAAATTTGGAAAAATAGAAATAAGACAGATGTCTGGGTATGAAAATTAGTTTTAAAATGATTGGTAAATTTTTTTTTAAATATGTAGATTGAGGAGTCAGATAACACACACAAACACACATAAAAAAAATGTTTTCAGAATCAGAAATTAAGAGACATTGAATTATTAAGTTACTTGGAGTTACAAGGTTACATTGGTTATGGAGTAAACATGGATATTATTTAAATAAAAAGCCTTTAAAAAGAGAAAATTTAAAATATAATGAATTAATACAAATGTTTGCATTAAATAAAAAATATTGTTTAAAAAATTGTACATTAGGATGTCCCAAAAAGCAACTTGTTTTTTTAAATGTCTGCCTCTCACCCTCTAAATATTTTCTATATAATAAAACAACACTGAACTTGAAATATTTTCAAAAATATATATTTATAGAGATCCCTGAAGTCCTTTGAACATCAGATGAGTCCCTAATATTATGAAAAAAAATAGTTTTTCAAAAGTATATCATGTTGGGTCTCAAAAGAAGCGAAGTTATATGATTTTTTTTTATTTTTATTTTTTTTTTTTGATAATTAGGGACCTGTCTAATCTTTAAGGGTCTTTAGGGACCCTAAAAAATTTTTTTTTTCAAATATTTTTCAATTCCAATATTACTTTATATAGAACACATTGAGAGGGTGGCAGAAGACATTTTTAAAAAAGTTATATATAATTATAAAAGTTGTTTTTTAGGACACCCTATTGAATGTCAGCGCTCGAAATTAGCAGATCAATGATCAATGATTGGCTATTTTTAGGGAAATTTCAAAAAATTCAAAGGGAAATAACCTGTTTTTGTGAAAAAATTACATTTGATCAGCAAGCTTAGAAAAACTATTTCGAGCACTGGAGTGTGATATAAAACTTGCACAATTGCAGCAATGGTGAGTCCTAAAAAGAACTCCAGATTTTAAAGATTACTTCTTTATACTTTTAAGTATTCAGGAGCTCTTAAATTATAAAAAAACTAATGGAATACTAATCGGAAAAAAATTAGGACTTTTAGGTAAAAGGAAAAATTATTTTCTGAACTCAGAGTCCTTAGGTAAAATGGCAACAAGCAGAGTCCTTGCTTAAAAACAATAAGTTCCAAGTCATAAAATTTCATGAAATTTTTTCTTGTACCAAATCAGTCAACCAACATATTTAGAGCTTTTGGATACTACAGAACTGGAATCTTTTTGGGATTCCACATGCATTAATTTTAATGATTATTTATTTGTTTAATAAAAGCATGCAACTAACCCTTTTTATTAGCAACTTTCTTTTTTTTTGATACTGCAGATTTTCCTTCCAATGCTGCTAGTTCTGCTAAAAGTGAATCATCATCATCGTCATCATCGCCATAGTTTGGGATTCCAAGACCCAACTTGTGATAACATCAAGAAAAATTAATTAAATTAACAAATAATATATAAAAAACTGAACATACAATTGTTCTAAAGATTTAACAAAAATATCCTTGTTGAACTTACCAAGTCAACAAAACCTAATTCTTTTAGCAACCTATAACTTAAGAAATACTGAGAATTATAACTTAGTGTGTGTGTCCAGATTTATAAACTAACTTTAATAAACCAACTTTGAGTGAAAAGAGAAAAAGATTAACTCAACTATAAAAATTATAAATGGTATCAACATGATAGTGGGTAATGTTTTCCATTTGCTAAAAGTTTAAGATGTCATTTATATAAATATCATGCAAAATTTCAAACATCTACATTTTATAAATTTGTTAAGTTTTTTAAGATTTTTAATTTTCTTTTAAAAGTTTTAACTTGCTCTTTAACTATATTTTTTGTCTTCTGGTAACTCCTAACTTAAAAAGTGGTTGCTTGCAGACTTGTTGGGAGTAAATTTGTTAAAAAACAAGTTACAAAAAAAACTTTTAGAATTAATAAATCAATAAACAACAAGTTGCAAACTTAAATTAAAAAAAGCATCTTATTCTTTCTTAAACTTTAATTAAAACTAATAAGTATTTACCATGTTTTCTAATTCTTTATTTCTTGGTTTATTGCTTGAAGGTTGTACAGCTTTTTTGGAAAACATTTTAATTTACTAAACTTGAAAACCAACAATTTCATAAAAAAATGTACATATTTATTATGCATAAAGGATAAAACTATTTATATAAAAAGAATAAATCAATTTATTTTTTCAAATTAAAAATTAGATTCTTATATAAATAAAATATATAACAATATTAAATTAGGCAACTAAATCAAGTCACCAATAATATATCAACATAAACAATAAAAATATAAAATAAATGTACTTCATTGTAAAATACAATAAAATCTTATCTAGAAGCATGTAATCATTGCTTCTTTATTTTGAAATGATTTTCACACTTTTAACTTTTAGTTATTTTCAATCAAATCTTTTACTCTATAAGTTTTATTTGATAAACTTGATATAACTTTTAAAAATATAATTTACTAAACTCTCTACTATTCTAAGAAAACAATCTAGTAATGATTTTTAAATAAGCTTTGAATAAGTAATTAAAAGAAATAAAGCTACATTTTTTTTAGCTCCAGTGTGTTCCTTGAACAATGCTTAGAATGAGAGGACTTTGATATGCAAAAGAAAAATAACAACTTAAAAGAATCAAGCTTCGTGAGTTCTTAAAGTTGGTTATTTAAACATTCTTGAGTATATTTTAGATTTTAAACAAGTCTATTTATTTTAGACAAATAACAAGCTATCCTCTTTAAAAAAATTTTTAACATTTTAAGATTGATTTCTTTAAGACTACTTTCTAAAAAATTTACTTTACTTTGCAGCTTAATTGCTCTTTTTGAAAAGTTTTTCATTTTAAAATAACATTTAAAAAAACTTACTCAATAACTTTCAACTTAAAAATCTCTTTAAATCACTACAAATTTTTTTACATGTTATGTGCAGACATAAGACAAAAGTTTGTGAGCAAAGATCAAGAGAAGTAACTAATTATCTAACTATCAAGCAGAAGTAGACTAAATGCAACCAATCTTAACCAATAATATTTTAATCATATTTTAACTAATCTTTAAAAAATAGAATAAACCATATAGGCTGACTATTGGAAGGTTTATAATTGCTAGTCCTCTTTGAATAAGATATGTATTCAAGTAGTATTTTGAACCATATTAATGAAGGTAGTAATATACGAATGACCAGTCAAAATCTTTTTATAAAGCCCTTATGTGGGCTTTATCAAGTGTAAAGTAAGACAAAATTGTTATAAAAATTATATAACTTTGTTAAAATGTGAGCCTTTTAATATTATAATAACTTTGTTAAAATAACAACCTTTATTATATATTTAGAATGAAAGACATGAAAAAAATGAATAAAATCCTTTTAAATATATAAGAAAATATATATATGAAGTTTAATAAAATAATGTATATATCAAACTTCTAGCTTTTATTTAACTTCGAAATTTCTTCTTTTACATGAAACTTAAATGAATTTAAGTTTCATATTAAAAAAAAATAGATTTCACTATATTGACATGGTTATTTTTAAAGTTGTTCCATATCTTCGGCCTTACGAGTTCATTTTTTAAATATTTATAGATAGAACAATATATTCGTAGATAAAACACTATAACAGCGTACCTAAGTTTAGCTCAACGGAGCTAAATAATTATTGATAAAATTTATTTCTCTCAATAAACGAAGTATAACGAAGAAATGTAAAAAATTATTTACCAGATATGATAAAATTCTTCGAATATACTTACTTCTCAACCGTCCGTAAAAAAGAATAAAAATTCATGGGTTCGGTGTCTTTAAAGCGAAACTTTTAAGAGCGAAAGTTTTAAAAGCGAAAGGTCGGGAAAGCGAAAAAGTTAAAAGCGAATGCGATTGGTTAAGCGAGAAAATTTTTTTAACAACATTAGTAACATCTTAAATTAAGATGTTATTAAGATTTAATAACATCTTAATAACATTGGTAACATATTAATAACATTTTAATAACATTGGTAACATTATTATTTTTATATAAATACATATGAGTTAACCTATTATTCTTTTTCATTGAATTGTGTCATCTTAAAGTTGTTACAATTGAAGTAAGTCAATTTCAGAAATAAGTTCATGAAGTTTATTATAAACTTTAAAAGTTTATACTTTATAGAAAATTGAGTAGGGCACAATTGAATTGTTTAAAATTTTGCTCCAAAACAAAGCGTAAAAGTTAAGTGTGTATACCAATTATAATAGGAAAAATTAGTTGTTTTCGCATAAAAAATTTAGTTAGTTAAAAGTAGTTCACTTTTATGTGCCAGCATATCGGCCAGTTATATTTACTGTTTAATTATCTGCAAGGCAAAGTGAGAATTTTAATATTTTTGTTTAAAATAATTTTAATAATTGTTATCAGACATTCACTTTAGAAATATGAATTATAGCTTAAACTTTAGGCTTTTAAGTTAAAGCCTGTGTCAAAAATGACTTTTATATGTTGTATTTAAATATGACTTAATGACATTATTTATATGACAAAAATGGCTTTTATATGGTGCATTTGCCTGAAATTTGACTTATAGTCTATTCGTCAAAAATCACAATATAAGTCTCTATAATAAAGATACTTATATTGTGACCATTATGTATGGCATTATCTTGATCGATGTTGTTACACTTGGAATATGTTGTTTCAACTTTTAGGTATTTTATTTTGTTACAATTTTTTTATGATGTTGTTTTGATTTGATTTGTTCTGTAAACAGAAAGCTGTACAGTGTCCTTTTTTTTCCCACCTGTTGAATTTCAGCAACATTTTTGTCAAAATTATTTATAGTTCATTTTACAAGAGGTAGTAGAAGATTATTTTATTTTTAACTACTTTCTTATTTTGTAATGTGGTTTTTTTTTTAGAACAACTTAAGAGTATGATTTAATAACTGTGTGAATCTTCTTGGTTGATGCCTAAAAGATTTTTTGAAGGCAGTTCTACATTTTATTGAAATATAAAAACATGCCAATATCCCAAAAATTATTCTGCGTAATGTTTTTTGGATTGTTTGCATGTAAAATTAAAAATTCAGTCATTAATTGTGAAAAAGACTAATTGGCTAATTAGTTTAAAAAGTTTCAATGGTGATGATTGATTGGTGAGAAACTTATTTACTTTTTATGTTTTAATTACATGATTTGTAAATATTTATGATATGAATTGTTTGTGATCTCAGTATAGTAAAGTTTTTATTTCTACATTTGTATTACTTAGCACAAATATTTTATAATTTTGTCTACAGATTGGTTTGTAATAGCCTTAATTATCTTATTTACTTAATGTTCAGTATACTGTTATGTTGTTTTTAAACTAGATAAAATAGTTTTTAAAACGAAAATGACTGCTGGCTCTATATGAATCTAATTTAAGTTTACTTCTTTGGGAATTTTATATCATATATTAAGTTTATTGTATTGGTAACTTTTTTATTACTAAAAAAAGAATTTTGTTACACAAAAAAAAGTGTAAAATGCATAACATCCCAACTATTACAATATATTGGAGGGCTTTTATTGGAAATGTTTTTTTTTTAACATTTTCATTTCCAACAAGACTGCAAGCACCTACTATTAGAGAAAAGATGAAATTTATAGAGTAAAATAACAACTAACAGAAAAAATTAAGTTTCACGAAAAAACAGATTAGAACTTTTTAGGCACTTAGGAACAGTCATATTAAAGGATTAGCCTTTATTGAATGATGAGTAACACAATAGTGAGTTTTAGTAGATGATACAAGAGACGCTAGCTCTTTAGAGCAGTGTCCATAAATGTATTTATAAAAAATAAAAAGAGAAGCAACATTATGATAATATTCTAATGGTTGGAGGTTGGCTGCAAAGGTCAAGGTGCAAAAACAATTCCTTTTTGTACCTTGTCTAAAAGAGAAAGGCCATTACTGGAAGATCTGATTAAGATATGGCAAAAGTGTTCCATGCAGGGATGGATGTAAGATTTATAGAGATAAGACATAAATATTTATAGAGATGTTTGAATTGATGAATACTTTTAAATTTAATATTGTATCATAAGTTGACAATATATTCAAAGACTGAAATTTAGCACAATTGTATTAAGCAAAGGTCTTTGCACACCACCAATTAAGCATTTATATTTCAAGAGTTGTTTATTGATAAAAGCTTGCCTTAATTTACATAAATATTAATATTTGTAGATATTATTATCTACTAGATAATAATTTATATTAAAAACTAACCTTTATATGTCTCGTTTTCAAATATGTTGTGTTGATATATTTGCCCTGGCTTTTAGTTTATGACTCAAAATTTAAACATCAATTCTTGAGGTTTAACTATCTCATCATTTCTAAAAGTATTAAGGGTAGACAGCCTAACTCACCATACCTAATCAAAACAAAAGAACATTATAAATTCGTATCTTTCTAATTTTATGAATAATTTTTATTTAAACATTAAAACAATTTTTTGGTTGAAATCTAATACATAAATTTCAAAAAACAAATTAAAATTAAATAATATCAATAAGAAATTATGCAAATTTTTTTTTTTTTTATCTATAACTTATTAACTTGTAGTGCAATTATAATTTTTATGCAAGATTTTATACCTTTTTGTCGCAATGTAACTCAAGTCTCAGCTAGAATACCAAATGAATAAATAATTCTAAACTATATGCATTTAATTCTATACTAAAACTATATACATAAACTCTAAACTATATACAATAAGTTTTTTTTATTTATTTAATCTAATAAACTCTAACTGTAACTATAACTCTCAGCTAGAATATCAAATAAATAATTCTAAACTATAACTAACTTATAATTATAAAAATATTAACAGTTTAAAAAAAATAAAATCCAAACGCTAAATAATCTATAATATAATATTGAGATAATAACAAAATCAGAAAAAATTTCAATAAATTTCAGTTGTTGTTGCTGTTGAACTTATCGCGATACTCGATTTCCCGGTTTTCGCTTTCAAACTTTTCGCTTTAAGGTTCTTTCGCTTTAAAACTTTTCGCTCTTACGTTCTTTCGCTTTTAAACTTTTCGCTCTTACCTCCCATTAC